TGGTTTAGTGATGATGCTCCTTGTTTGTTGTGGGGGTGTCTATTTTTGTCATTTGGGTTGACGGTTGGACAAGATGAACTTTAAGGTCCCTTCCAACCTAGAAGATTCTGTGATTCTGGGTGTGAGAGGCTGCCCTGCCCAGGTTCCCCTGCCAAGGGCTGTTTGGGGCTGGACCTTGCGGAAGGAAAACCCGTTCTTCTCTCTCAAACGTTTCCTTGTTGTTTTCAGGTCCATCAAGATGTTACAGGTACCGCTGCCCCTGGACCGGGATGGGATTCTCTTCCGGCTCCGCTTTACCACGCTGGCCGTTGGGACTGTGTTTTGTCCACTCTTTGGTTTCCTTTTCTGTGTGATCTGGTCCCTCCTGTTCCACTTCCAGGAGACGACGGCCACCCACTGCGGGGTGAGTGACTCTCATCACCAAAATGCAAAGTCCTCCAAGGTCGTGGCCGCTTGGCTGGGACAGCCAGGAGGGTGGTGGGGCTCCTCTCTTCTTCTGGGCTTCCCCACCAGATGGGTGATGGGCTCTTGAACAAGCTGCTTTATTTTATTGTATTTATGATGCCTTGGGACTGGCAACTGAGGTTTTGGCTTTTCAAGAGGGACTTCAGGACACACAGACAGGTCAGGCTGGTGTCTGTACTGAGCATGTTGGTGACAATTATCACAGAATCACAGAATCTTCTAGGTTGGAAGGGACCTTAAAGATCATCTTGTCCAACCGTCAACCCAACTGACAAAAATAGACACCCACACAACAAACAAGGAGCATCATCACTAAACCAGACCTCCCAGCACCACATCAACCCGTCTTTTGAACACCTCCAGGGATGGTGCCTCCACCACCTCCCTGGGCAGCCCATTCCAATGGCTGATGACCCTTTCAGTGAAAAAATTTTCCTAATATCCAGCCTGAACCTCCCCTGGGGCAACTTGTCCTCTTGTCCTGTCGCCTGGGACTTGGGAGAAGAGACCGACCCCCACCTCTCTACACCCTATGATAAAGAATAAATCCAGTGAGGCTACAGACAGGTATATTGTTTTGTGGAAGAGTTGGCTCAGCTTTTATAAAAGGAACTGCTGCCCCTCAGATCTGCTGGAGCTCTTCAAAGGAGTCACAAGCACGTACCTGGGGAGTTGGGGTTGGGAGGGACCACCTGGGTTTCCAAAATCAGGTCCTTCCCCAGGGCTTTCAAGCGTGGATGAGCAGCTGGTTACAAGCTGGGAACAGGGAGCAGCAGTAGGTGACTATTCTCGCAGCAGGAGATCACCCCAGGGTTTTTTGGGGGTCTGTGCTGTTCCTTGTGCCCATACAGAGGATGGACACAGGGAACAACAACACCAGGCAGCGCTCCAGGCTGGGGGAAGACACCCAACCCAACAATCTCAGGCACTAGAGCGTGCCCTGAAGTGCCACGTCTATGCATTTCTTAAATACCTCCAGGGTTGGTGACTCCACCACCTCCCTGGGCAGGCTGTTCCAGGGCCTGACCACCCTCTCAGGAAAGTAATTCTTCCTCAGATCTAATCTAAACCTCCCCTGCCCCAACTTCAGACCATTTCCTCTGCTCCTGTCATTTCCTTGGGAGAAGAGGCCAACCCCCACCTCTCTACACCCTCCTTTCAGGTAGTTGTAGAGGGCAATGAGGTCTCCCCTCAGCCTCCTCCAAAGTAAACATGCCCAGTTCCCTAAGCCTCTCCTCCTAGGACTTCTTCTCTCACCAGCTTGGTGGCTCTCCTCTGGACATGTTCCAGCACTTCAATGTCCTTCTTGTAGTGAGGCTCCCCTCCAGAGAAGGAGACTCCACCACCTCCCTGGGCAGCCCATTCCAATGGCTGAGAACCCTTTCAGTGAAAAAATTTTTCCTAATATCCAGCCTGAACCTCCCCTGGGGCAACTTGAGGCCATTTCCTCTGGTCCTGTCGCCTGTGACTTGAGAAAAGAGACCGACCCCCACCTCTCTACACCCTCCTTTCAGGGAGTTGGAGAGAGCAATGAGGTCTCCCCTCAGCCTCCTCTTCTCCAGGCTCCCTCAGCCTCTCCTCATAAGACTTACTCTCCAGACCCCTCACCATCTTTGTCGCCCTTCTCTGGACCCGCTCCAGCCCCTCAATGTCTTTTTTATGGTAGGGGGCCCAAAACTGGACACAGCACTCGAGGTGCCAGTGCCCAGTACAGGGGGACCATCACCTCTGGGGCCCTACTCCCCACGCTGTTCCTGACACAGGCCAGGATGCTGGTGGCCTTCTTGGCCACCTGGGCACACTGCTGGCTCCTGTTCAGCCTTGAATATCTCCAGGGATGGGGCCTCAACCACCTCCCTGACACGCTCCCTGTGCCCATCCCCTCTCTCTCTCTCCTGCAGGTCCCCAACTATCTCCCCTCCATCAGCGCCGCCATCGGGGGCGAGACCCCCCAGCGCTACGTCTGGCGCCTCTGCATCGGCCTCCACTCGGCTCCTCGCTTCCTGGTGGCCATCGCCTACTGGAACCACTACCAGAGCTGCCACTGCTCCCACCCCCGCTACCTGCGCTTGTGTCACTTCAACCTGCTCCTCAACCTGCTGGAAAACTTCGCCCTCCTCATCCTGACCTACGTGTCCTCGTCGGAAAACTATGGTAGGTGTCTTCTCCTGCCCTGCTCTCTGCTGAGCCTCGTGGTGGTGGGCTTACAGCTGCCCAAGCTTTGCAGAGCTCTGCTTCCCACCGGTGTTTCGGAAGTAGACAGTTTGGAGGAGGAAACAGTTGATAAATAAATAAATCATAGAATGGTGGAGGTTGGAAGGGACCTTTCAGACCATGGAGTCCACCCATCAACCCACCACTGACAAACCTACCACTGACCCATGTCCCTCAGCACCACCTCTGCCCGGCTCTGAAATCCCTTCAGGGATGGTGACTCCACCACTGCCCTGGGCAGCCTCTGCCAAGGCTTCACAGCCCTTTCCAGGAAGAAATTCTTCCCAGTTTCCATCCTCACCCTCCCCTGGGGCAACTTGAGGCCGTTTCCTCTTGTCCCATGGCCTGTTCCTTGGGAGAAGAGACCAACCCCCCCTGGCTACACCCTCCTTTCAGGGAGTTGGAGAGAGCCAGAAGGTCTCCCCTCAGCCTCCTTTTCTCCAGGCTGAACACCCCCAGCTCCCCAGAAATTCTCCAGACCCTTCTTCTTGTGCTCCAGACCCCTCACCAGCTCCGCTGCCCTTCTCTGGACATGCTCCAGCCCCTCAAGGTCTTTCCTATTGGGAGGGGCCCAAAACTGGACCCAGCCCATGAGGTGGGGTCTCCCCAGTGCCCAGTCCAGGGGAACATTCATTGCCTTATTCCTGCTGGCCACACTGGTCCTGACACAGGCCAGGATGCTGGTGGCCTCCTTGGCCACCTGGGCACACTGCTGGCTCATGTTCAGCCCCTGTCAACCAACACCCCCAGGTCCTTTTCCGTGGGGCAGCTCCAGCCACTCTTCCCCCCAACCTGGGGCCTCCATGGGGTTGGTGTGACCCAAGGGCAGGCCCTTGGCCTTGTTCTATTAAAGTTCTATTAAAATAGGTATTTATGAAGCAAAGTTAAGTCCATAATATGCAAATAGCCGTGTTCTCAAAATTCTTGGTTGCTGATAATTGGCCAAAAACATAAGGTGACTTTTTGTATCAGGCCCAGGATGAGATTTGGGTGCTTGGTCCCCACTTGGGTGCCGAGGCCACGCTCAACGCGCGTCACCGCAGCTGCACGAGGGCAGGTTCCTGCTCGTCCCTGCTCTGTCTCCAGGGCTGAGCCTTGGCTTTGGCTCTGACCTGGCTTCCAGCCCACGCTCTCTTCCAGCTGCATTTTAAATTCCATCCCACCAAATTGTTTGGGTGAAATTTCCTTTGTTGACCTGAAAACATAATCAGAATTTTTCAGGTTGAATCAGTGCGTGGCAAATAGTCACCATGGGCTGGGAAATGCCCTTTTCCTGCATGATCTTGTCTGAAATTTAAGTGCCAGTGATGACATCAGCTGCTGTTTAATCTTGAGATCCGGGGGAGGTACCAGGGGTTGACTTGAGAGGACTCACATCCAGGAGCCAGCAAGGTGGGGCTGTTGGAGCAGAAACAAACCCAGTTTGGGGACTTCTCAGCAGGAGAGTCACAGAATCATAGAGTTGCCCAGGTCGGAAGGGACCTCCAAAGGCCATCTAGTCCGACCCCCCCGCAGTCAGCAGGGACACCCCCAACTAGCCCAGGTTGCCCAGGGCCTCGTCGAGCCTCTCCTTGAATATCTCCAGGGATGGGGCCTCAACCACCTCCCTGGGCAACCTGTTCCAGTGCTCCACCACCCTCCCAGTGAAGAACCCTCTCCTCATCTCCAGTCTAACCCAGTTCCCCTCCAGCTTGAAGCCATTGCCCCTCGTCCTGTCACTGCAGGCCTTTCTAAACAGGTTCTCCCCGGCCTTCCTGTAGGCTCCCTTCAGGTACTGGAAGGGAGTCGTGTCCCTGCGCACAGTTTGAGGGTGACGATGGTGGGTGTCACCATCTGATGAAGGATGCAGTCAAAAGTCTGGCAAAGAGAGAGGCTGGGCTGGAGCTCTGAGAAGGTTTGGAGAGGTGCTGGTGAGGGGAGGTTGGCAGAAGAGGGTTTGATTTTAGTCTGGAGAAAAGGAGGCTGAGGGGAGACCTTCTGGCTCTCTCCAACTCCCTGAAAGGAGGGTGTAGCCAGGGGGGGTCGGTCTCTTCTCCCAAGGAACAGGCCATGGGACAAGAGGAAACAGCCTCAAGTTGCCCCAGGGGAGGTTGAGGATGGAGCTTGGGAAGAATTTCTTCCTGGAAAGGGCTGTGAAGCCTTGGCAGAGGCTGCCCAGGGCAGTGGTGGAGTCGCCATCCCTGGAGGGATTTTGGAGCCGGGCAGAGGTGGTGCTGAGGGACATGGGTCAGTGGTGGGTTTGTCAGTGGTGGGTTGATGGTTGGAGTCGATTGTCTTGAACCTCTTTTCCAACCTCACTGATTCTGTGATACTATGGTTTTGTACTGAGAGTCTCTTCCTGATCACAGTGGGTGAGGAAACCAAGCTGTTGAAAGGCAGATGCACTGAGGATCAGGAAGCCTTGGAATTGCTTAGAGGAACAAACTGGAGTTGGCTGTGGCCACTGGAGTCTCCCAGGAAGGCTGGGAAGGTGCCTGTGGGGCTGAGGGGTCCAGCCCCAGCGCAGAGGACCTGATGGATGGTTTCCAAGGCTCCCCCCAACCCATCAGAGCAGGGTGTTGCGCTGAAGCACCAAGTGGTGCAGACACTGTTGGGGTTCCCCTGTGGCAGGTGTTTGGAGATGGGGCATCTTGTACCCCAAAGCGACAGGGTGTCCAGGAAAACCAGCCATCAACAGCTCTCTGTGCCCTCCAAGGGCCTCCCCAGCCTTTAGGGTGAGGCTGGAGAGCCGTGGTGGAGCCCGGTGAACTGGGATGGTGTTTGAGGAATTCACAGCCTTTTATCCGAGGCCTCACCTTGAGTACTGTGTCCAGTTTTGGGCCCCCTACCATAAAAAAGACATTGAGGGGCTGGAGCGGGTCCAGAGAAGGGCGACAAAGCTGGTGAGGGGTCTGGAGAATAAGTCTTATGAGGAGAGGCTGAGGGAGCTGGGGTTCTTCAGCCTGGAGAAGAGGAGGCTGAGGGGAGACCTTCTGGCTCTCTCCAACTCCCTGAAAGGAGGGTGTAGAGAGGTGGGGGTCGGTCTCTTTTCTCAAGTCACAGGCGACAGGACAAGAGGAAATGGCCTCAAGTTGCCCCAGGGGAGGTTCAGGCTGGATATTAGGAAACATTTTTTCACTGAAAGGGTCATCAGGCATTGGAATGGGCTGCCCAGGGAGGTGGTGGAGGCCCCATCCCTGGAGGTGTTCAAAAGACAGGTTGATGTGGTGCTGGGAGGTCTGGTTTAGTGATGATGCTCCTTGTTTGTTGTGTGGGTGTCTATTTTTGTCAGTCAGGTTGACAGTTGGACAAGATGATCTTTGAGGTCCCTTCCAACCTAGAAGATTCTGTGATTCTGTAATTCTGTAATTGTCCTTCAGACAATTATTCTCTGACCTGATGAGTCCTGCCCACCCAGGAAGGGGAATTGGGGGAAAACAAGGAAACAGGAGGGTTGAAATATAAATAGCTTTAATAGGATAAGACTAAATAATTGACAATAACAGCAAAGAACCAGTGTGGATCCCAGTATAAAATCCAGAGGGATTATCCTCAGCCCATGTGGGACCCTGCAAGTGCTGCAGCTCCAGGAGGAAGGGAAGGGCTCAGGGATCTGGCACTGGGGCAAGGACTTCTCAGGATCCCAGCCATCATGGAAGGGAGAAAAATTCAGCCAACTTTCTAATTTCTATTGAAAGTGACATTCCTGGTATGAAATAACCCTCGTGGCAGCTTGGGGCAAGTGCCCAGGTCTCGCTCCTCCTCATCCCCACACCTGGGGAGCTTGAAAACACCGAGACCTTGAATCCCACCCCTCAGAGCTGGTTGGGAAGTGAATATTTTCCCCAATTCAGACACTGGAGTCTTCTAAAAGTGCAGTTTCTCCCAAGCATTAGAAGAGAGGTTAGTCCTGTGTTGCTCAAACCAGGCTGGATGAGAGCATCCAGCTGATGGAGGTCTGTGGTCCAGGGGGTGTTCTTGTCCCTCCTCTTCCTCATCTCCCACCAGCAACCCCTGTCCCCTACAGCGAGACGTCTTGTCACCACCTCTGCCACTGTCCCCAGCTGCCCCCACTACAGCAGGTGACTGCAGACTGACCACAGGGCTTCTCTGAAGCATCAGGGCTTAGAAATTCAGATGTTCTTCTGGGGTTTGGGTTCCTCAAAGCGCGTTGTCACCTGGATGGCTCTGCCCGGCTTGTGCAGGGCTGTGTGAGGAGGAGAGCCAAGTGTGGCTGGGCAAAAGCCACGCTGAGGCCTGGGGCTACCCCAGATTTCTCAGATCCTTATTACAGGCCCATCTCAGGTTTGTGGGGAAGGTTTCTGACCTTGGCTGCCGTGCTGGGACGAGAAGGGGCTCGGGTTAATCATCTCTGCAGGACACAGCTCTTCATCTTCACCTCCAACAGCTGCCTTTTGCCATCGCCCCTTGCGTGGTTTCCCTTCTCCTGGAATGGAGAGGGGGAAGCAGGGGAGATGGTTTCTTAGGTTCAGGCAGTTGGGAATTCAGCCCGTGGCTCCATTCCTGGAGAAAAGGCCGGGAAACTGTGTTAAATCATAGAATGGTTTGGGTTGGAAGGGACCTCAAAGATCACAGAATCACAGAATCTTCTAGGTTGGAAGGGACCTTAAAGATCATCTTGTCCAACCGTCAGCCTAACTGACAAAAATAAACACCCACACAACAAACAAGGAGCATCATCACTAAACCAGACCTCCCAGCACTACATCAACCCGGCTTTTGAACACCTCCAGGGATGGGGCCTCCACCACCTCCCTGGGCAGCCCATTCCAATGGCTGATGACCCTTTCAGTGGAAAAATGTTTCCTAATATCCAGCCTGAACCTCCCCTGGGGCAACTTGAGGCCATTTCCTCTCGTCCTGTCGCCTGTGACTTGAGAGAAGAGACCGACCCCCACCTCTCTACACCCTCCTTTCAGAGAGTTGGAGAGAGCAAGAAGGTCTCCCCTCAGCCTCCTCTTCTCCAGGCTGAAGAACCCCAGTTCCCTCAGCCTCTCCTCATAAGACTTGTGCTCCAGACCCCTCACCAGCTTTGTCGCCATAGAGTTCCAACCCCCCTGCCCTGGGCAGGGACACCTCCCACCAGAGCAGGTTGCTCAAGTCCCCAGCCAGCCTGGCCTTGAACCCCTCCAGGGATGGGGCAGCCACA